TGTGTGTGTGTGTGTGTGTGTGTGTGTGTATGATTGGGAGAGGTGTTGAGGGGCTCTAATTATTGTCACTACACTAAGACCATTCTCTGGAATAATCACTGGTCTTGGCAGTTGTCCTTATAGGGGCCAGCCCAGGCCTAATGAGAGTAGCTGCAGAGGCTTAAGAGCTTTACGGTTCATTTGATTTCAGATGGTGCGATTTGGTTTTATGATGGGTAAATTAACTGATTGTCCCACCTTTTGAAGCTCTAATTTCATTTCTAATCAGCAATGTGCATCCTTTTGCACTTAGGTCTAACAAATGTCTGCTTTTATTGCTCTCTGGGGTTTTTAAGTGCTYATGCTAAGCTATTTTACTCTGTGTAAAAAAAATGAAAACCTGATTTTAGTGTCTTCACTCTCAATGAACTTTAAAATGTTTGACTAGATCTTTGACCCATCTTGTTTTATGAACTAGCAAAATAAGACCCTCAATCAAACATTCCACTTTATGCCAGTCATCTAATTTTAAAGCTCACTGGGTTAGTAAAATACATTTTTTTATGATAACACCATATCAATGAGACTTTAAAGGTCCAGCAATTAAAGTGTTTCTGAAGAGATGTTTCCTTTGGTTTMTGTTGAGTCTCTGTCTCAGTTGGAGGAGTATTTTTTTCAAGTGATGACAGGATGAAACTGGAGAAAGACTGACAGTTCAACCTGGAAAGACTCACACGAGACAGACTGGAATTAGGCCCTCTGGGATCAATAAAATATTTTTGAATTGAATTGAATTGAACTGAATTAGGAGGTTTATTGACATGACTGGACCAACATGGTTACTGACATAAATGGCATTAGAGATTGGCGCTCGGACCCCGTCAGAGGACGAGAGCGCTGAGTGAAGCAGTAATCTCATAAGAGATGCTTTGAATTAGGAGTAGGAGATTTCTTCCCCCGGGGCCCGACACTGGTGGTGGAGGTCACGGAAAAAAAGAACAATCTAAAGAAGAAGAAACCTGCAGGCTGCGTTGAATCACTTCATCACAGACTCCTATCCTGAGCAAAGGTGGAGAGGAAAAACTCCCTATTAACAGGAAAAAACCTCCAGCAGAACCAGGCTCAGGACAGGCGGCCATCTGCCTCGACCAGCTGGGCTGGGTGACAGGAAAAAGACAGGTAGACACAGAAGAACTGGTCCAGGTGCACCTACTGCAGAAGATAAACGGTGGAGGAGGGGTGGTTGCAGGTTGACGGTCAGCTGGCTTGCAGACTGGGCGACTGAGACGACTGGCTTTTATTCTCTGGCAGACAGGAGCTGATTGGATGCAGCTGAGCTTGAGACGTGGAGGTCGGCGGGAGCAGGTGAGATTATTAGTCTTCCAGAGCTGAACATTCATTTAAACTCCATATCAGGGCTTCATCCACAGTCAAGAGAGTGTTACCTGGGTATGTGGAAGTGAACTGAAGAAGGGGCTGAACCAAAAAGCAACATTTCATCCCTCACCTGTGGACATGGTCAAAAGCTCCATCGTCTGGAAGAAGAGTCACTGCTCCTCTGCATCAACTAGAGTCAGCTGAGGTGGTTAGATAACACATCACATRATGCTTCCCTTTAGAGGATTTCTAGATGCAACGCTGAGGCTGATCCAGAATTTGCTGAATAGATACAATGTCTGGCCTATTAACACCAAGAAAAGAGAGAGGTTCAAATATTTCCTACTGGACCTGCTGGAAGAATTTAATTAATGGATGTTCTTGAAGTACTCAGTACACTGGCTAAAACAGTTATTCAAAATAACGWTAGCAAGAGTGACGATCCTGCAGCTCAAAACCACAGGAGACTCCATCTCTGTAATGGTCACAAATAAAGTTTGAAAAATAAAAACTCCATCTTTTGCAACAAAAAGCTTAAATATATGAATTGCCATTTTGWCTAATGGGTTTAATTTTAGATCAGTAATGGCTTTTCTGTATTGATCTYGTTGGATCGTTTTAGGTCAAAGGATACATGGTTCTGTGAAAGGAGCAACAAGTCACTAATGTAGAAATCTGAAACCTCAACTTGAGTAACCCCTGATGTTTATTTATTTATTTATTTATTTAT